TGTGGACCTGCTGTGGGCGGAAGACCCACGTCCTAACCCGTGCCCTGACCTTCTAATGCACACACATTGGCACACTGCTCTGGGGTCCCTCCTCCTTTCTGTGCAGCCTGCTTCCTTGAAGCCAAATTGGCACATGCTGGTTTTCCCTCTGCGTGGCCGAGCTGTAGCGATAGCTCACAGTCCTGCTCAAGAAACAGTCTCTGTGGTCCTCGGAGCAGCTCACCGTCCTGCAGGGGCCACGCCCTTCTTGGCACCCTCCCTGAGTTTCCCAGACTGTTCCACCAGGCCCCACCTGATCCACACCTCTTCCTGCCTCTTCCCTTTTGGTGAAGGTGCAGCAGTACCTGGGAGCTTGAACTGGGAGGAGGAAGTGTAAGGCACAGGGCGAGGGCATGATGCCTGAGGAAGCCAAGAAGGAGCCATAGCTGCCTGGTGGCCTCGAGCTAGAACCAGAGGTCTTTGATCCCACGGCTGGGCCTCTTGGATTTCCTCCCTTCAAGGCTCCCTTGCACCGATCTCTCCCACCATGTTAGCCCATTTCCTGTTTAGACTGTGCCCACCACTCTCATGCCCCAGGGCCTTTGCACTGGCCACCTTCCCTGTAGAGCATTCTTTCCCTGAATACCATGTGGCTCACTCCATCCCTCACCACTGGCTCTAAAGTTATCCCCATCCACATCTTTTGACCCCTTTCCCTGCTGTTTTTTGAACAGCACCACTGTCTGATTCTACACGCCTGCAGGTTTGTTGCCCTCTCAACTGGAATGCATCCTTGTGCAAAAAGACAGTCTTCCTTGTTGCAGCTGTGCCTCCACCGCCCGGCCTGAGGAGATGCGTGGGGAGTACGGGAGTGCACGGCCAGCCTCTGGCCCAGCCCTCTGGACGCAGTTAGGCCCTCTGAGGACTCTGACTCTTCCTTGGTCAGACCTGGTGCCAGCCAGTGGTCTCACTTTCTGAATTGAGGGAAACTAGGCTGGTGGTTTGAAGGCCCAGACGGGGCCGCTTCTCGGCCTGGTCCACTGTGCAGTTTGCTTTCCCAGCTGCCTGGCGCAGTCCTGGGACGGGCCTGACTCTTGGTGTTGGTGCACCCCGTGGTCGCCCAGGCGGACGCTGAGTTCTAGGAGGGCTTACTGCCACATTCTGAGTCAGGCCAAAGCTGGACCAGACCACTGTTGCGAGTGTGGACATGGAAACGCAGGTGGCTCAGCCTAGTGGCTGCGCTGGACGCAGCTGGCACCCTGTGGGCTGGACCTGTTCCATTTTACATTCAGGCCTCCTCTGGGGCCTGGGGCCTGGGCGCCTCTCCCAGTGGGAGTCATGAGTGGCGCTGGACTGTCTTGGCCTCCTCCCCGCAGCACCTCTGCCCTGCTGTCCTCATCTCTGCCCGTCTCTGCTCACCTCTACTCTGTCCTGCTGTCCCACCTCCCTCCCTTCTCTCTGTGTCTCCTCTTGTGCTTTACCCCCCGTGACCCCCATCTGCCCATCTGACTCTCCGGCAGGAGCCGCGGTGGCCCTAACTGTGCCCTTGGCTGGGAAGGTCAGCCAGCCTGTGCCGGGCCAGAGCACCCCTGTGCACATTCCCCACTGCCTACCCTCGGCCCTCCCCTCCTCCAGCGGCCATCCTGCAGCGCAAAGGGCAGGGCACTCACCACTTCTCCCAGGCACCAGGAGGCTGGCCAGGACGGCGCTGAGCAGGCCCAGGTGCAGCAGGCTCCCCATGGTGTGGCCAAAGACAGTGGCTTCGTCCCTGCTGTGATGGGTGCCGGGTCAAGGTTCATTCAGCCTGGCCCCGGGTGGCTATTGTCCTTCTGCTTATCTTGGCCTCCTGATTGGAGCTCGGGCTGTGGTGAGGGCAGGGCAGGGGACTGGGCCTGTGGTCACTGGCCCCTGCCTTCCCCAGGCAGAGTGGGTGGCTGCAGAGGCCACGGCCAACCTTGTCATCATTGGAAACAGGGCCCAGCAGGGCTGGCTGCATCCATTCCTGGTTTCAGGAGAAGAGAGGACCTCGTTTGCGTCCCTTGGGTGGATTCCGATGCGCACGTCTCTTACTTACTCTTCACCCCCTTGGCAACAGGATCGTTTTCTGATCATTTTCCAGAACAGAAACCCAGGTGGAGATAGAGGACAGGCCTCTCATGGCCCTCGGGTGGAGTGGGATTTCCCCCCAGGCTCTAGGGGCCCCTGGCTGGCCCAGGCAGGCCCTCAGTGTGGGTCAGGTTTGGGGGACCAGTGTTCCCTGGACAAGACTGCACGTGGTCACCATGTGGCTCTCAGAGGACAAGTGACCCTGAAATGGCATTGGGTTGACACAGTTTGTTCCTCACTCACGTGGTGTCCCAGAGGGCCAATGGGAAGAGAAGCCGGCTTGCCCTGCTGGGCCTTGCTGACTTCACAGCAGGTCCAGGGTGGAGGTCGAGGGCCCTGCACACTTGTTTGGTGCTGGTCACCTCTGGAGAATAATTACGACCTCGTCTTGGTTTCATTCTTACCCATTTAGGTCCTAGAAGTAGCTTCTGCACAGAGTGACCCTGGGATTGGGGTGGGGAAGGCAAGGGTGTTCGGGCCTGTGACAGAGGAAGCAGCTCAGCTCCCTGGCCGGTCCCTGGGAGCTGCTGGGGGTGTGTGCGTGGAGTGGGGCCCAGGCCAGGGCAGCGCTGCTCCCGATCCCAGAAACCTCCTAGCATCAGGCCCTGGTGCTTCTGTACTCAATGGCCAGATGAGGAGCCAGAGGCACAGCTGAGATTCTGCTCTCCAGCCTCTGGAAGAAAGAGCAACACTGGGCTTGTGCGGACGTGGTCACCCCGTCCCCACCTGCCAGAGGCAGAGCCAGCTGCTGGGGAGGCCAGAGATGACCTCATCCTCGTCAGAGTCTGCGCCCCGCAGGTGCTCTGTGATCGCAGAGGATAGGCAGGAGTGAGGCTCCTAACTGCTGCAGCACTCGTGCCTGGTCAGCGGTCGCTCCTGCGCTGGGCCGGACGCACGTAGCCCTGCAGGCAAGGGGGTCTGTCTGGCTCCTCACTCTGCCTCCAGGTCCTGTGAACCCCACCTCGTGGGATGGACAGACAACGCTGATGCTGAGGCTGGGAGCCGGAGTCTGGCTGAGGGGTCACTGCCACACACCGGGCTGCACCAGCACCTGGCCCTGGGGGACAGTGGAGCTGGCAGCAGCAGTGCCTGGCTGCTGCCCCTCTGGGTGCTGCCTCGGCTTTGCAAGAGTGTGGAGACCTGGTTCTGTGAGCGGGCGGTGGGACGCTCGGGGCTGACCCGTACTCTGGGAGGGAGACCGAGCAGTGACACTGGCTCTGGGAGCTCCTCCCCTGTCCCCCCTCTCCCAGGCCCACCCTCAGAAACCAGGGTACCAGCGAGCAGGGCCCACTGAGCGTCTGGTCTTCGGGCCAGCCGGAGCCTTCATCAGGCCTCCAGGGCCCGCAGTGCCCGTGCATGGCAGCCGGTGAGGTTGGGAAACTGAGGCTGGGCCAGGGCTCCACTCAGCCTCCAGTGACCTCCCTGTCTCTCCCTTGCACAGGTTTGGGTGGGCTCCTGGCCAGGGTCCTGGCCTGGGGTCCCCTTCTTCCTAGGGGGAGGGGTCCTGCCAGTGTTCACTTTCGAGGGGCCACAGCAGTTTCTGAGGCCGCACCAGGCTGAGACCCTGACCATTTGGTGGCAGAAGGGCTGAGCCTGGAAGACACAGGAGACGTCCGGCAGTGTGCCTTCAGTGCCTGTTCTTCCTGGACTGATTCTGTCCTCGGCTCAGGCATGCAGGTGGGCTCCTGGTTCACAGAAGACAGTGACCATGCCCAGAGCAGAGGCTCAGTGGACCTCGGATCCAGGAGCTCTGGCTGGGTGCTGCTCCCAAGGTCGGCTCATGGCTTGGGGGATGGTCAGGAGTTCCTGGCCTGGGCCAGCAGATCTTTCCTGCCGAGGTCCTGACACCAAATACATCTGGCTTTGTGGGTCAGGTCCCCTTTGGCTGGATGGCCTTTGTCCTAGCCTCTCCATGGACCATCAATGATGTGCATCTGAATACAGCTGTTCAGAAACACAGCTGGCAGGGGTACCCAGGCCACTCTGAACCCATGCCACAAGACCCTACCATTACTGGCGCTGTGCTCTACGGGAGGCGGAGAGGTAGCCCCACGCAGGTGGGTGCCGGTCATGTCTGGGGTCAGCCACCCTCACCTGGGCTCAAGGGGGCCAGCTGTCCAGCCCCCTGTCTCCCTGTTGGTTGGTTCCTATCCTCCCCGTCAAGGCCACCCGTGGCCTGAGGCTCACTGGCCCTGGAGTAGCAGGAGTGGAACTTGCTGGCTCCATCCCCCTGACCCAGGTGGTCAGGGCAGGACCTGAGAACCTGCATCTGTCAACTCTCTGGTGCTTTGTGGGCCGGCGCTCCCTGGCCTCTGAGAACACAGGCTGGCAGGGCCGGGCACCTGTGTGCGGGGCGGCCGCCTCACGTCAGAGCTCCCGTTCCCGACCACCTCCATGGGGAGCACTCCTTTCTGTGATGCCGAAATGTGGAAGAAGAGGCCGCTGGACACCAAGGGTCTCTGCGACCTGCCCAGACAGCCACGGGGTGCAGCCGTGCAGCCAGTGTGCCCCTGGGCAGGAAGCAGGTGCACCTGTGCCACACACACGCCCACTTTATTCTAGAACACGCCCAGGGAAGCTCAGCCGGTCCACAGCCTGAGGTGCTTCGCGTTTAATGGAAGGAGGTGAGACACCGATACAGAAAGCAGAAGGGAGCGGCCCCCGCCGTGTGTACACACGTGTACACAGCCGTGCAGTCTCAGAGGCAGGGCACGCGCAGACGGGGTGCTGGGGGGGCCAGGCGGGGAGGCCAGG